TTCTTAGATTCTTAGATTCTTAGATTCTTAGATTCTTAGATTCTTGGATTCTTAGATTCTTAGATTCTTAGAGTCTTAGATTCTTAGATGCGTAGGTTCTTAGATTCTTAGATTCTTAGATTCTTAGATTCTTAGATTCTTAGATTCTTAGATTCTTAGATTCTTAGATTCTTAGATTCTTAGATGTCTTAGATTCTTAGATTCTTAGATTCTTAGATTCTTAGATTCTTAGATTCTTAGATTCTTAGATTCTTAGATTCTTAGATTCTTAGATTCTTAGATTCTTAGATTCTTAGATTCTTAGATTCTTAGATTCTTAGATTCTTAGATTCTTAGATTCTTAGATTCTTAGATTCTTAGATTCTTAGATTCTTAGATTCTTAGATTCTTAGATTCTTAGATTCTTAGATTCTTAGATTCTTAGATTCTTAGATTCTTAGATTCTTAGATTCTTAGATTCTTAGATTCTTAGATTCTTAGATTCTTAGATTCTTAGATTCTTAGATTCTTAGATTCTTAGATTCTTAGATTCTTAGATTCTTAGATTCTTAGATTCTTAGATTCTTAGATTCTTAGATTCTTAGATTCTTAGATTCTTAGATTCTTAGATCCTTAGATTCTTAGATCCTTAGATTCTTAGATTCTTAGATCCTTAGATTCTTAGATCCTTAGATTCTTAGATCCTTAGATCCTTAGATTCTTAGATCCTTAGATTCTTAGATCCTTAGATTCTTGGAATCTAGAAAACTAGAAATCTAGGATTCTAGAAATCTAGAAATCTATGAATCTGAAAAAGCTGAGCTTTAGATTCTAAACTCATAATTCTAATTTTCAGCCAACAACAACAATACTTCCTCCAAATGGCCAACAAGCAAATGAAACAAGTCCCAAACCCTGACAAAAATCCAATGATTAGCCATCCATCTGACACCACTGGCTCCGGATCGGGCTCCCAAGAAGAAGACGACATTCAGATTTTGCCAAAACCAGTGAAAATCCGAAAAATCAAGGTGGAGGATGCCTAAAATTGAAATTTAAGATTGATAAGCTCTGTTTTTTGGTTATTCTCCATGTCAATAAACTTGTAATAATTTTTCAAATTCAAAAATGACCCATTTCAATACAACGCCACCTGCACATCATACAAAAGTTCATAATTCTATGCGCTCTCTTACTTTTCTCTTGTCTCTAACCTTTTTGTGCCACTTTCCCATTTCGCGCGCCAACGGCGACATTTAGCGACTCTCTGCGACCCTCGAGTTGTTTTTCGGTACCCCAAGTAGTGCCTGGCAGCTTCCCAGTCAGTTTTCCACAAGCCATGGATTCAGAATTGACGTAAGTTTTATACTTCGTTTGCTTTATTAGAAAATCTAAATGTTACAGTTTGAGTTGTCTGAAAATGTTGAGTTTGAAGTAAGCTATAAGGTTTTTAAAGTTAGCGTGAAGGTTCTGCGCGCATGTGCATATGAGCGTATTCATCTCGGTTGCTATAAAAGGTATCAAAATTTTGTCAATTGATAAAATGTTGGTGATAAACTGATAAACATTTTATCAGTGGACAACTTTTTGATATCTTTGACAGGAAACGAGATATGAGAGCTTGAAGTAGATGGGAGCCTTACTCTACAACAATGGGCAATTTTCTGCGCTGTGGGCAAGATTTTCTTGTTTTTTTTTTTATCGCAGTCCAAATCTAGCTAACTGTAGATTTAGGAAAATATTGAAAAGTTGAAAAAGCAAAAAAAATCCGAGACAGTCCACCATATGAGCACATTGCCAATATCGAATTTCTCAAAATTTAGTAGCTGATAACCACAGTAACTTTGAGATCATTTATCTCGGTTTTCTCACAAAATATGAAGAAGTAGTCAACTGATAAAATCTTTATTATTATATCGCCAATATTTTATTAGTTGACCATTTTTCGATATCTTTCACAAAAACCGAGATAAATTGATTCAAAGTTGAAAGGGTTCGGAAAGAAAATGCGAATTTTTTGTCTTCGTCAACTTTGAAATTAATTATCTCGGTTCCTGTCCAAAGTATCAAAAAATTGTCACCTGATAAAATGTTTACCATAATATCATTACTATTTTATCAGTTGACTACTTTTTAATATCTTTTATAGGAGCTGCAAAAAAATTGGCTCAACGTTAGGAGGTCCTTCTTCTATAGGTTTATGGTGATTTTTTTCCAGAAATCCGGTGATGGAGAACAGCGGGGGATCTTCCAAAAGCTCTCTAAATCCATCAAACTTCTCGTCAACGTCATCAGAATCCAACAGATCTGAGAAGCAGTCAGAGCCGCGGTTAGTACAAATTTCCCAATTACAATATTGTCCATACCGTATTTGCTTGAATAGAGAACCCAATTAACTTTAAGCTCAATTATCTCTGTTCCTATGAGAGATATCAAAAATTTGTCAACTGAGAAAATTATGGTGCTCTTATGAAAAATATTTTATCAGTTGACCACTTTTTGGTATCTTCTGAAGGAACCGAGATAATTGAGCTCAAAATTGACGGTTTCTGTATTTCTTTTCAGCAAGCCATTCTCTATGTGGTCTGTGACAAGTCTTCTGGAGAATCCACCATCGTCGTCCTCTTTTCCGTTTATGATGCCTCTTCACACCGTTCCAGTCGGCGTCTTCTTGAAGGCTAATACTATTCTCAAGAATGCAACATCAAAATTTCACCCATTCCAGTGAGTTTCCACAAAACATGTCAAGTTTGAGCTAAGTTATCTCAATTCCTATGAGATATATCCAACATGTGTCAATTGATAAAACGTTGGGGATATTATCATAAACATTTTATCAGTTGACCACTTTTTGGTATCTTTCACAGAAAATTAGGTACATAGGATCAAAGTTGAAGGTTCGGGGCCCTTCTATTACAGGTTTTACAGTCAAATCTAACCCATAAACTTTCAGCCGTGCCTACAATTTCGATCAGTCTTTTTCTCTTAGTCCAGCAGCAGCACCACCACCAGGAATCCCAACGCTTCGAAAAGTTTCTAAACTCAGCCGAATGCTGAACCCAAGATTTTACTCGACGACCCAAACTGAGATATTGGAGGCCAAATACAATGTGTCACGAGCAAGGATAGGAGCGATATGGAAAAGAACACCAGGCTGACATGGAAACAGATCACGAATCGGTTCCAGCATCGGCGTTATATGCAGCGGAAGAAAATGTTAAATGATGTGAAGGGGGCAAAGGATACCGACTACAGTACCGGTCAATAAGATATACAAAAAAGTATTTTTCCGTTGATGTTCGGTCATTTTAACCATTTTCAGAAGTGTGGAGCTCGGCTGCCAAGTTTCCGACTACTTCGAAAATTTTGGAGAATTCAGAACAGATCTGGATTGAAAACTTTGCATTCACAGAATTTTTTGAAAATTCCTTTTTTGGCGATCTCTAAAAGACACCATCTTTAGTACAAAAACGAACCAAAAAGGGGTGTCTTTCAGAAATCGGCAAATAGCTGAAAAACTAGAAGATTTAGAAAAATTCTGTAAATGCAAAGTTTTCAATCTAGGTCTGTTTCACACTGTCCAAAGTTTTCAAAGTGATCGGATACTTGAAAGCCGAGCTCCAGACTCTTGGAAATGATCAATTTGAGTATCCATGTCGCATTCTCAAAAAATCAGTTTCCTGTAATCTCCATGATATTATACTCATTATAGCTTTGAATGTTTGCCACTTTATCTGGATTACTGCATCTTTGAGCTATTTTTATTGTGCTATACCCTCCCATTCACCGCACAGTGTTTGTTTTTCTACCTTTTCAAACGCGCCTTCATGAGAACGCAGCCAAATTGATGGCTGAGGATCAAACGTTTTGTTTCGTTGTCTGCGTCTCTTCACCGGAAAAAGATCTCTCGTTTTAGGGGAGAATTGTTTCCTTTTTGAAAATTTGAAAAAGCTTAGCCCCGCCCCTTTATCAATAGAGAGGATTGGCAAAGGTAAAAAAACAAACCCTGTGTTTCCGTACTGATTACATTGAGTACTTTTTTTGTTTTTATAATAAAATGTTTATCAATAGAGCGCATTTGTGTTAAAACAATCTTAACTATAAATAAAAAAAATGCATCAATTGTACCCCATTCAATTCAAAATGGGCAAATTTGGACGCCTACAAAATACAGTATATTTGGTTGAAATTATTTGAAAATCTCAGAGAATGATAAACAAAAGTAGTGTTTCAATTTTGTAGTTGACGATTTTTTGTACGAACTCACCCTAATACTGTAGGTTTCGGCACTTGGTTGGTTTTGAGCGATTCATCATTCGGATCAATTTCGACAAAAAAGTGGTCAACTACGAAATTAAAGGTGGGGAGACAGTAGATTTTTCGTAGTTTTTTTGTAGCTAGAGTATGCATTCTACCGTGACGGTGTACAACGCTTAATGTCACTCTGCGTACAGCTGTCGTCCTCGCCTTTATGTATGCAATCGGGTGACCGCTTCCTCTTTGCCCGTGTAGCTCAGTCGGTAGCGGCGCCGCACCCTCAATCATCGCCCTCACACGTTCAACTCCTCGAGAGGCATATTTAAACGAAATTTCGAGAACATTCTTTTTTTCATGTCCCCCCACCTTTAAAGCTCTAGTTTTGATTAGTATTTTCTCAAGTTTTCAGTCAAATCCAACAACATCTATTGTATTTTTTAGACATCTAAAGCTTAAGAAAATTCTGGCCAGTACTATACATTAGAAGAAACAAGAAAGATGGTGATTCACAAGCCAGAAGCTGTGTAAAAGGGACAATATGTCTCTCCTCTCGGCACTTATGAATCATCAGAATGTTTCATTTTTCGAAAATCTGCGTCTCTTCGATTCTTTATGTCTTTTCGAAGCCGCCAATCGTCCTCCAACCAGCCATTCTATTTTACTTTTTCAATGGCGCAATGTGCGCGCCTAACAATTTATATTTTTCTGAAATTTTATTATTTTTCTATATTCTTGGGCGCCTATGGAGCCTAGCTATCTTCATTTTCTTGTTTTTTTTTTAATTCAAAAGGTAAGACGATTTTTCAAAAACTGGTTTTTTTCCTGAAAATTATTTTGAAGCCCGAAATTTTGGATTCTGTTAAAAGAATTTTAATTTCTTCATTTTTCAGTTTAAAAAAAAGCGGAATCTGATGCGGAAAAAAAACTTCTGGAAACAAATGAAGAACTTTCATGATGATATCAAAGAGAAGAATTCTTCTGGGAAAGCCAACCGAACAGCAATTCGGAAGCATTCACAACTTAATGGAGATCCATCCATTTGGGAGGGAACGATTACTTCATGGAAATTGGAAATGCAGATATCTTTCAAGTAAGAGTGAACAAAGGAGAAACTCTGTTTATGCCATCTGGTTGGATTCATGCAGTTATTACTCCAGTAGACTTGTCTACACTGGAGGTTTCCTTCACCCCAAGAATCTTGTTGAAATTCTTTTATGGTGCATCGACCGGGAATACGCCTGATACATCTAATCAGTTTCAAATTGCAGAAAACATGGTCAAGGACGTGGTGGAGAAGCTCCAGGAAAAAGTTGGAGAGGTCAAAAAAGAGCTGAAGCGGAATAACCCAGACATCTGGGAAACCACAAACCGAAAGATCGACAAGATCCAAGCATCTTTGGATATACTCAATCAAAAGCGCGACCACATCTTGGAGGATATGGATCGCTGGTGAAGCCCCCAGCCTCTCAAGGAGATCTTGGAATCCACATCCAAATGGAGGAGGACATGGAAATCGACCATGAGGAAACGGTCACCATCCCAGAAGACTGTTGTCTTGCAAGCTCCGGATCAGTAAGTGTCGATGAAGGAGATGTCGAGGAGGGCATCGACGAAGAAGTCGAGGAGAATATCGACGAAAAAGTCGATGAAGAAATCCAAGAAGAAGCAGATGAAGAAATCGACGAAGAAGTGGAAGAAGACCCTATACCTAGGGTGAAATCCGCCGTAATTGTGCCTCCATTAAGGAGCCCAAGGATTCGGCAAAAAGGGATCAACATTCAATTTGTAAATTTATATTTTTCTATTGTCATAAACTTTTCTCTTTTACATTTCTCGTCTCGTCTTCTCTTTACTGGGGTGAAACTGAACCTGTCAGATAAATCTAGAAAATTTCAGCCTAACCAGCCGGCTGGAGCGCCTTCGGCGCGATTTAACCTATTTGTATTACTGGTTCGCCTCAAGAAAAGATAGTCATCTACAAACTCAAGCTCTATTTTTGTTTGGTACTTTCTAAAATTTTCAGTCTAAGCTGGTTTGAGCATTTTCAGGAGTGTGGAGCTCGGCTGTCAAGTTTTCGATCACTTTGAAAATTGTGGAGAATATAAAACAGACCTAGATTGAAAAAATTGCATCCACAGAATATATCCTACACACTTTATCGTGGTGATTCTTCCTTACCCCTCCAAAATGTAGAAAAGAAGCAAAAAGAGCATCATTCAGCTCCCCTTTAGTCATTCTTCATCCAACCACCTATGCTCCTGAAATGTGTCAATTTTTCTTCCTCCAATTCTGGACAAGTGGAGAAAAAAAAACGGAAAAGGGGAATCTCAATTTTATGGATGAAGGATAGATGGTGTCAGTTAGGTCCGTTTTGAAGACAAGGTGAAAAACGTTGCTTCGCTTTTTTTGCGCACGAAATGAGCTCCGAACTATCATCCCGTTTGAATTGTTCTGATTCTTCAATGACGTCTCCTGAAGTTGTTCGGTAAGTAGCCTGATTCTCTATCAATCGAAAAATTACTTTTCGAGTAAATCCTTTGCCTTATGGTCGATTTCCGAAATTCTCAAGAAATCTCCACCGACCCCACTGGTGCTTCAAAAGCTCCAAAATCCAGGAACCGAATTGCTGAGCTATTTTCGTCACCTACAGTAACATCCATAACTCTCACAAACTCAATAACCCTCCCTTTCCAGATTCCCACCATCCAAACCTCGTCGAAAGTGCCTTCCCCGAAGGTTTACCGTAGCTCAAGTAACCATTCTTCAAGCAAAATTCCAAGAGAATCCATACATTTCAAGGGAGGAAAAGTTAACAATGGCCATGACCTTCGGATCAACTCCTTTACAAATAAAGCGATGGTTTAAGAATCAGAGAGAAGTGCAACGGAGATCATTCAAACGGACTTTTACGGATGTCAAAAGGAATCTTCTGATGGCAAGGTTCCAGGAGAATCCATATCCGTCGGAGGAGGACGAAGAGTATTTGGCGATGGTCACTGGTTTAACAAAGACAAAAATTAGAGATTGGTTTAGCTATAAACGATGTCTGCAGGGAAAATCAAACAATTAATATATTCTTGTTTCTGTTTTGCTAACAATAAGATGAAGATTAATATATTAAAGGAGGCGAGACAGCAAAAATTTCGGGGGACAGTTCGGGGGACGAAATCGCGCCGCGCTTATGTAGACCATCGGTCGTCAGGCGCCTTCGCGCCCCCGTAGCTCAGCCGGTAGCGGCGCTGTACCCCTGAGCTGCCTGTCATGCCTGTCATGAGTTCAACCCCTCATGGGGGTTCTCTATGCGAAATATCAGGAAAACTTTTTTTTTTTTGGTGTCTGGCCTCCTTTAATGAAGTATTTTCATATTAAAGGAAGTGGAATCATACTGTAGATGCCTTCAATGATCATCTATGTCGTCTTCGATATGAAGCTCATCGAGTTGCCGGAGAGTCTCATTATCGATTATCATCTCGAGATCAACTGAAATTTATAAACTTCCATAGATTCTTCAAGATCTCATCACCTGAGAATCTGACGACTGGGGTAGTAGCAATTCTGATGGAAGGTCCTGAAAAACTGAAATTCCCAAGTATTTAGACACTAAAACTTACTGATGTAGGCACGAACTTTAAACAGCTTGTAGATTTTGGGTTTAGCCGAATAGTGCCCTGAAAAGAAACATACCGAAAAAACTGTATTAGAAGGGCCCCTTTAATAGAAGGGCCCTCTGTGAAAAAGGACCCCCCCTTCAAAATGTGTTTTGAAATCAGAAGATTACCATACTATTTAAGTGGAAAATACTCCGAGAACTCCACCATTCAATAGAAATTTGTTGAAACTCTATTTTTCGATAAAAATCTTGCTGAATTTTGGTGAAGTTGGCAGATTTACATGAATTTTGAACGAAACTTTGGCGAATTTTTTGATGCCGAAATTCGGAGAAACTGGCGGGAAAACTAGAAGGGCCCCTCTAATTGGAGAGCCTCTGTAATAGAAGGGCATTCCGGAGGTACCTTGGAACAATAGAAAGGCCGGCCATTCTAATACAGGTTTTACGGTAGATAGATTATACCATGAATTATACCATACCTGACGAAAAAATTCTCAAAGCACGCCTCTTTTTGAACTTGAACCGCTTTCGGATAGTCAGAATTCTGTTAGATTTTTTGACGATGTGGTGCATATTAAGGACCTGGAAATCCAGGAAAAGAGACACTAATAGTAAGTCCGTACTACTCTTTTTATAATGACAGCTGGCTGGCAAAGGAGCGAACACTGCAAACCATTTTATCTCCTTTCTGAATCTCAAACTATCAAATTTCACTTTGATCATGAGCTCATTAATTATCTCGTGGTCAGATCTAGAAGATAATACAACCTAATTTTTTTTCAATGCTTCCAGGTTTCGAGATAATCCAACTTCGACCAGATACTGATGACGATCAACTTACGTTAAACTTTTGGGGAACGTACCAGGCGATAGTAATACAAAAATTTACCAATTTTTTTTATTATTTTCTTTTCAAAAATAAATAACAGAAAACGCTGCGAATATAACAATTAAAACAAACTACTCTATTGAAGAGTATAAAACAAAAATGTTTAAAAATGATTTTTTAAAGTCAACAATGCTACAATCAACAATTAAAAAATGTTAGAATCAATAATTCAATGTTACAATAATCAACAATGAATTCAATAAAACTTGTTGTTACCTCCATTTTCTTGTTGAGCCTGTGCTTCGTCTTTTATCTCACGAGCCTCACCCAACGCCGCATCCGAGATCTGCGCTAAAAGCAGTACTTGCTGACGGTCCACATAGAGCTCCAGGGCCGCAGCCGCCGATTTTTCCTCGTCCGTCTTCGCGTTCTCGAGAACAGCTCTCGTCAGAGCTTCTCGGCGACGGATGGATTCGTCGACCCATCGCTCACGACGATTGCATCGAGTGATGGCTGCTCGATCTGGAGAAGAAGATATTTTATCGAGTTTTCATGTGAATTAAGAGGAAAGCTTGGTTGGAGATACGAACATACAGTCAACCGGTCAATAAAGTACCGTAAAACCTGTATTCGAAATTCCGGCCCTTCTATTGGTCCAAGGTACCTCCGGATGACCCTTCTATTACAGGTGCCCTTCAATTAGAGGGGGCCCTTCTATTTTTCCGGTCAGTTTTTTTTAGAAATTTAGCATGAAAAAATTCGACAAAGTTTCGTTTAAAATTCATGAAAATCTGCCAACTTCACCAAAATTTAGCAGGATTTTTATCAAAAATAGAGTTTCAACAAACTTATATTAAATTGTGGAGTTCCCGAAATATTTTCCACTGAAAAAGTACGGAAATTCTCTGATTTCAAACACACATTTTGAAGGGGAGGGGGGTGCTTTTTCACAGAGGGCCCTTCTATTACGGGGCCCTTCTATTACAGGGAGCACTTCTATTTTTAAACCATAATTTCAGAATTTTTAATCTGATTTTGTGGAGTTCCAAGATGATTCAAATAATTCTTAAAAAATTAATTAATGGTTATAGATTCATGTATGGTCGTTTTCCGGAAGAAAAAAATGTAGAAAATGGTCATGTTTGAAAGTTTTTTACAGAAAAAATCTATCTCCTATTTCAGTTTTTGACATTTCTAGGAGTTTTATAGCTCAAAAAAACCGCAATTATTTTCTCTACATTTTCTATGGACGAATTTTTAATTCGTCTGATAAAACTTTTTTTATAATTCAAAAAACAACGCAAAAATGCGA